GTCCCAGAGGCTCCTTACACTATCCTCATTTTTTTGGATTCTTTTTCCTTTTTGCTGTTCTGATTGGGTGTTTTTTGCTTCCTTATATTCCAAATCGATGGTTTGCTTCTTGGATTTACGTACTCTGCTATTGAATCTGTGTAAATTATTCTTTATTTCAGTTAATGCCTCTTTCATTTCTGACTGTGCATCCTTCATTTCTGACTATGCATCCTTCATTTCTGACTGGTCCTTTTTTATGCTCTTGATGCCCTCACTAAGTTCACTGAGGTTCTCATTAAGTTCATTGAACATCCTTATAAGCAGTATTTTGAACTCAGCATTTGTTAGGTCGCTTTATCTCCAGTGCACCTATTTCTTTTCTTGGGGTTTTGTTCTGTTCTTTCATTTGGGACCTGTTTCTTTGTCTCCTCATTTTGGCTGCCTCCCTGTGTTTGTTTCTATGTATTACTTAACGAGCGGTATGAGGCTAGCTGACACCAGATGCTACTTGTTTGAAAGAATTTAGGAAAAACCTGAAGCAGGATCCAAGACAGGCCAATCCTTTGCTTAAGCAACTGGCAACAGCTTGGGTGGGCCTGAAAGTTTGGTGGGCCAGGGCCACAGGGAGTCACCAGGGCGGAGCTACCAGTGTGAGCCAGGTTGCTGGAGTCTCAGATATGGTGGCTGCCTACCGCCCCAGGGAAGGGCTCACCAAAGGAACAAAGGCCTCTGACAGCACGTTTGTCCCGAAGAAAGCCCCCCACTCCAACCCTCGCTCCACTGCCAAACGGCTCAGTTCTTCTCTGTATGTCTCTGATGCTCCTCAAGCTGCCTCCCCTCCAAGCTTAGAGGGAGTGAGTCCAATAAGTCCGTGCGCGGGCACGTTAAGGAGCTGCCTGGGGCTCCAGCCGCGTCAGCTTTCCTGAGCCTCAGTTCCTGCTGATTTTTCCAGCCAGAGGTTATGGGGAATTGTCTTCCTGGCACTGGAACCCTGAGCGGGGCACCTCAGTCCTTCAAGGATATTGGCCTGTAGTTTTTTTTTTTTGTAGTGTCTTTTTCTGGTTTTGGAATTAGAATTATGCTGGCTTCATAAAACGAATTTGGAAGTCTTCCTTCTTCTTGAACTTTTTGAAATAGTTTGAGGAGAATGGGTGTTCTTCTTTGAATGTTTGGTAAAACTTCCCCGTGAAGCCATCTGGGCCTGGGCTTTTGTTTGCTGGGAGAGTCTTGATTACATCTTCAATTTCTTCTGTTGTTATTGGTTTCTTCAGTTTTCTGTCTCTTCCTGGTCCAGTTTTGGAAGACTGTGTGTTTCTAGAAATGTGTCCATTTCGCTTAGATTGTCGAATTTGTTGCCATATAATTGTTTATAGTGTTTGTTAATGATCCTTTGTATTTCTGTGGTGTCAGTTGTTACTTCTCTTTCATCTCTGATTTTGTGTACTTGGGTTCTCTCTGTTTCTTGGTGAGTCTAGCTAAGGGTCCATCAATCTTGTTTATCTTTTAGAAAAACCAGCTCTTTGTTTTGTTGATCCTTTGAATTTTTTTTTTTTTTTTTTGACTCTATGTCGTTTATTTCTGCTCTGATCTTTACTATTTCCTTCCTTCTACTTGCTCTGGGGTTTTCTTTTTGTTTACTCTCTAGTTCTTTGAGTTGTGAGGTTAGATAGTCTATTAGGAATTTTTCTTGCTTCTTGAGGTAGGCTTGTAGTGCTATGAACTTCCCTCTCAGAACTGCTTTCGCTTCATCCCATAGATTTTGTGATGTTGTGTCTTCATTTTCATTGGTTTCCAGGAAGTTTTTAATTTCTTCCTTGATCTCCTCGGTAACACATTCATTGTTTAATAACATATGCTATTTAGCTTCCATGTGTTCATATGTCTTTGCCTGTTATTGTTGCAGTTGATTTCTAGTTGCATGCCATTGTGATCTGAGAAGATGCTTGATATGATTTCAATCTTCTTGAACCTGTAGAGATTTAGTTTGTGTCCTAACATGTGGTCTATCTTTGAGAATGTCCCATGTGCACTTGAGAACACTGTGATTTCTGTAATTTTGGGGTGTAATTCTCTGTAGATATCTATTAAATCCATTTGTTCTAGTGCTTAATTTAGAGTCTCTGTTTCCTTGCTAATTTTTTGTCTAGAGGATCTATCCAATGGTGTCAGCAGGGTGTTGAAGTCCCCTGCTATGATTGTATTGCTGTCGATTTCTTCTTTGAAGTCCTCCAGAAGATTTTTAATATATTTTGGTGCTCCTATATTGGGTGCATATATATTTATCAGGGTTATATCTTCCTGTTTGATAGATCCTTTGAATATTATGTAGTGGCCTTCTTTGTCTCTAGTTATGGCCTTCATTTTAAAATCTACTTTATCAGATATGAGTATTGCTACCCCAGCTTTTTTTTTCCTTTCCATTTGCTTGGAAGATTTTTTTCCATCCCTTCACTTTCAACCTATGTGAGTATTTTGTTGTGAGGTGGGTCTCTTGTAAACAACACACAGATGAATCATGCTTTCTTATCCAATCAGCTACCCTGTGTCTTTTTATGGGAGCATTCAATCCATTTACACTTAAGGTGATTGTTGATATGTACTTATTTATTGCCATTTTTGTTTACTGTGGTTCTATTTTTCTTCCTATTTCTCCTGCTAATTACAGCAGTCCTTTTAACATTTCTTGCAGTGCTGGTTTGGTGCTAATGTATTCCCTTAGCCTTTTTTTGGTCTGGGAAGCTCTTTATTTGACCTTCTATTTTGAATGATAGCCTTGCTGGGTAGAGTAGTCTTGGATTCAGATCCTTGTTTTTCATGACCATGATTACCTCATGCCATTCCCTTCTGGCCTGTAGTGTTTCTGTTGAGAAGTCAGCTGAGAGCCTTATGGGGTTTCCTTTCTAGGTAACCTGTTGCTTCTCTCTTGCTGCTTTTAGGATTCTCTCTTTGTCTTTAATTTTTGGCACTTTGATTACTATGTGTCTTGTTGTGGGCCTGTTTGGGTTCTTCTTACTCGTGGCTCTCTGTGCTTCTTGAACTTGAATGCCTCTTCCTTCACCAAATTAGGGAAGTTTTCTCTCACTATTTCTTCAAATATATTCTCTAACCCTTGCTCATTTTCTTCTTCTTCGGGGACTCCTATGATGTGAATGTTATTACGTTTCCAGTTGTCCCACAGTTCTCTTAAGCTGTTTTCCTGGTTTTTAATTATTTTTTCCTCTTGGTTTTCTGATTGGTTGATTTTTTTACCGTATCTTCTCATTCACTGATCCGGTCCTCAGCTTCGTTTACTCTGATATTTAGACTCTCCAATGTGTTTTTTATTTCTGATATGTCATTCTTCATTTCTTCTTGGTGGTTTTTAATTTCCAACTGGTTGATTTTCAATATTTCTGTCTTTACTCATGGTGCTCATGTCCTTACATATGCTGTTGAGCTTTCTCAAGATCATGGCTCTGAATTCTAGTTCTGTTAGCTTGCTTGACTGCACCTCATTTATCTCATCTTCGGTAGAGGTCTCTTGTTCTCTCATTTGGCTTTTATTTCTGTGTTTCACCATTTTGGCTATCACAGTGGGCTTTGGAGCCTGCCAAATTTTCCCTGTGGGTGTTGGTGTTCTGCTGTTTGTGGCTCCCTCTTTTGGGTTTGGATAAGGCAGGGAGGACCCACTTTAAACACCACTGTCAAGTCTTTCCTGGTTAGAGTTGCTAGCCCAGGGAATGGTAGTTATCTTCTGGCTTTTTTGCCTGGAGGCTATTAGTAGAGGTCACCTGAAGAACCTTGGTTTCTGAGTTGACTGAAAAACTCCCTCAGGTACTCAGTGTAAGAGGATTTCCTGAGGGTGGGGCAGATGCTGGTTGTAATGGGCCTCAATTAGCATTTCAATGGCCACCAGGTGGGGTTGAATCTCTGAGGGATGGGCCGCCACCTCTCCCCAGGGCCCTGGGAAGGAGTAAGTTGACCACAGTTCCAGTCCAGTCCGCCCTCCCTCTGCCAGAGCCCAAGGTGAGTGGCTGCTGCTAATTTAGCCTCTGTCCTGGCTCTGCATTGTGGAGCCACTTGGGACTTTAACCCGAGGGCGCCGCTCCCAGCTAAGGGCGCTACTCCCAGCTAAGCCCTTTGCTCCTGGCTGAGGCTGCAGCAGTTCCCAGCCAAGGGCATAGCACCTAGCCGAGGGCGCAGGTCCCAGCCAAGAGCACAGGTCCCAACCAAGGCGCCACAGGTCTCAGTCGGTGCCGCAGGTCCCAGCCGAGGGTGCAGGTCCCAGCGGAGGGTGCAGGTCCCAGCCCAGGTCTCCGCAGGTCCCAGCCCAGGCCACTGTGGACCGTGGGCTCCTGGCCCCCTCTCACGTCTTAGCAAGCCTACCAGGATTAAGTCAGTGTCCTTGGTTATGTTGTCCTCCAAGCTGCTTTTCGGATGCCTTTTCCTGACGATTTGTCTTTATTGTCGTTGTAATTTCAGTTTGGTCCTGGGAGATCGTCTGTGTAGCTTCCATTCACTCTGCCGCCATTTTCCTAGTCCCTCCCTTTTTGATTTCTTAGTCCTTATTATTTCTCCACCTCATTCTCCTTCTCTTTCTGTCTTTTTGTTCTCTGGTGGTAGAGGGAACTAAAAGCAAGATAACAGTGAATAGAGGGAGACAGTTTCACCTATTATTATGTAGACACTAGTAAGTATCTGAATTTAAGAAATTAATATGAGAAATACCTAGTCTATGAGCAACATGTTTTTTTATTCTGTTTAATTTTTCTATTTCTTAGTTTTTGACAGAATCCAAATTTTTTATTGCAAATACTTCTTTAGGAAGGTCTTAAGGATAGAGTACCATGCTCCATCATTTATTCTCTATTGGTTTGTTACTCATCCTCTTTTCTCCTTGCTTTTTCTGCTGAGAACATAGTTTAACCATCATTAGGTTATGTGGAGAACTTGCAATTAAAATTATTTACTTCTACTTAATAGAGTTGGCTGTAGAAAATACCTTTTCTTCCTATTTTGTTTTCTTTTTATTTCCACAGAAAGAACATGCTCTCTGAATAACTGTACTGTGGCCAAAAGAATTGGAAAAGGAAAAGATGCTACTGTCATTTTTGAGCATTTCAGGAAACCTGTAGATACATTTGTTCAGGAAAACTGTTCATGCAATGCATTAAATTCAGAGATAAATTCTTCCATTTCAGATATTTCTAATTCCAATGAAAATGTGGAGAGTGGAAACATTTCTGTACTTGAAACATGCAATGAACAGATGAAGCACAATTTAACAGAATGTAGAGACACTTCTGAAGTACATGCATATGATTCAGGTCTTTCATTTATTCCCAGTGATACCAGAGAGAGTGTTAATGGTGACCTCTTCTTAAATTTGACACATCTTAAAAATATTTTAAGTGGTCTTCCTGCTGCTTTTCCCCATCATAACAATATTGGCTCAAGCACAGTTATTACTTCAAAACTTATCAAAGACCCAAGACTTATAAGGAGAGAAGAAAGCATGGAAAAACATAATATTACAGATTTAAAAGAGACTTCGCCATTTAAGAAGAGTTTAGATTTTGCTAATTCAGAAATAAACCTATCTATGCCAAGTAATTCTGCCTCCTCATCTGAAGTCATGCCTGGTGATGATGCCATGATTACTGATTGTTTGGATGCTCCTTGCTTCAAAATTTCTTTTGATGATTCACAATTTCAGACTCACAAAGTGGGCTCTAAGAACTGTGATTATACAACTCCCAATACAATTACCATTGCAGGTCAATGTCAGGACCAAGACAACTCCTCCTTCCCAGTGTGTTTGTCAAATGTAGCTTCAGAAGTTGAGAACCAAAAACATAGTGAGGAACAAGTCCAGAGATCCCAACAGAGAAGTAACATCCCACTTCTAATTGAAAAAAATAGTGAGCTGCATAACTCTTACGAATCAGTGAATACTTGTGCCAAAGGGTCTAACAGTCACATTTCTCAGGAATCACAGTCTTCTAATTTAAAAACTACATGTCAGACTGATCATAAAATGTCTTCAGATTTTTCGTTTCAAAGGAAAGAAAGCATACATGAGTATATTCAAAATATTGGAAAGGTGAGAAACTTCACTGGCCTAGAAGACAATTCCAAACATGTAGAAAAGCAAAATTTGTGGAAAGAGATTGGTAATTGTACTAGTGAAACAAAAATCAGTCCAATATATAATTATGTTTCTTTGCACCAAGCATACAAAGAGGACGAGAGTCTTGATTCTTTTGAGAAAAAATGTGATCAAATATTAATCACTCAAAATTTAGAAATATCAAAAGCTTCTACATCTACCACAAAGAATAAGTATGAGCTAGGTTATCTATCATTGGAATTACAAAATAATCTTACTCCAAGAGTGGAGAGCCTTTCACAAAAGCATCCTCAACACTGTTTGGAAAATGAAGATAACATTCATACCGGTTTTGCCATTTCTCAGAAACTTATGGAACTGGAATTGGAAAAAACAAATCAAAACTGTATCAGCATTATAACTGATGCTTTCCAGGAAGCAAAAGACATTTCTCATGCCAAAGAACTGTCAATGGATATAGTTATTTCATCTCATGACATTAAAACAGTACATGACAATTCAAATTGCATCATAGCTAGAGAACATACATGTGTCCATAGTAAAAGTACAAGTGATCCAGTGTCATTAGAAAACATTCAAAGAGACTACAAAGAAACTTCTCAAATTGACCATAACGGTCAAGATCATACTCTGTTCTGTAATACACATTTGAGTAATGATATACACCTGAATGTTGATTTTAAAGAACAAAGAGATAATGATAAAGAAAACCAAAGCAAGATTAAAAAGGAAGACATTGCTTCATCTACAGAAAACAACATAGAAAATATATGTGGAGATGAGAAGCAGGGTTTTCATACAAACAAAAATGTTGTTAATACAGATGAAAGGCAGGAGAATAAAAATTACAATAATGTAGAAATTCTGAGTTCTGAAGAATTTTCTACATTTAACTTGACTTGGGGGGACAAATATGTATCAACAGGAACTACATTATTGGAAACTGAAGATACTATCACTGCCATAAAACAAAAAGATACACAAAATACCATAAGGAGTGTAGAGAATTTGGCTTCCATATATCCCAAAATCTCAAGTTCTTCAATACATGTAGCCTCAAATGCTGCCATGTGGACAGATTGTACTATGGTGCCCACATTAGACACAAATCATGAAAATCACCAAAGATACAAGTTTAAAGAAACTTGTTCTTCTGAGAATCCAGATTTGGGGTTGTTAGTAAAACATAGGGTTTCTGATTGTGAAATGGGTATGGATAAAAACAAATTACACAACTCATTTCATCAATCAATAAGTGACAACTTAGTTCTTCAAAATTTCGAATTGGAAAGTGAAATTGAAGTAGAATTAGAACAGTGTGATGATGCTTTTCTATCTCAACAATATACTTTTAGCCATGGAAGTGAACTGTGTGAAGAATTTGAGACTCTGAAGTCTCGTATCGATTGGGAAGGTCTATTAGTAAACAATAATAGGGAGGAGAAAGTTTTGGAAAGCAACACAGAAAGTGAGCATAGTGAACAGTCTTTCTCTGATGATGATTCTACAGAAGAAAACGAATCAGAGTTCTTCCCAATTTTACTTCCAGATCTACAAGTTACAGTTACTGAGACACTTATGCCAGTATTCAGTTCCACTGTTGAGCCCCTTGCGTTGAAAGATAAGTTTTGCAAATATACAACTGAAGCCACTAAACCAGAAATAAGTGAGGAGGAGGGGAAAGTTCTGGGATTTGAAATGTATTCCCAGTGTTCTGGTGAAAATTCAGATTGCCCATGTGAAGATGAATTTGGTAATATGAGGCAAGAATCAGAACTAGTGAGTAAATCTGAAAACTCACTTTCTTTTGACTTGAGTCGTAAGACACACATGAATCACACGTCTGAAGAACAAAAGAGTGGACCTTTGCTTACTGAACTTTCGAATGTCACAACAATAAATAACAAAAGCAGAGGTTTCCTTACAAAGTCAAAAACTGATTGTAATGATACTAGAAATAAAAATGACACAGAATCAAGAATTAGCAAAAGAAAGCCACATACACCTGCTAGGGACCAGAATGTACTACATCATCTAATTTGTGAGAAGAAGAGGAAGCTGACCAATCAAGACTCATCTGAATGTTTTTCTTCATTATCCAAAGGACGAATTAAAACCTTTTCACAGTCAGAGAAACACATTAGGAGTGTCCTGGATATTCTAAATAGTGAAGTATCTTTATGCAAAAGCAAATGTCTTTCCAGAAAACTTGACAGAGCTCTTCTTTACTTAAAAAAAGCTCATAGAAGAGTTAACACATCTTTGGAGCTTATAGCTAAAGTGGGAGAAACTTCAAGAAAAGGCCCATTACCAAAGTCATATGCAATAATATGTAATAATTTCTGGGAAATTTGTGACCTTCAAGGTTATAGTTCTTTTTCTGAAAGAAGATATTATTCCACTAAGCATTTTTTTCCAAAAAGAAAATATGACAAACAAGGAGAGAAAAGAGCTTTGGGATTTGAAGTTGATAAATCATTAACTCATGTGTCAAAATACCAGTCTTATAGAACAAGTGGAGAGAGAATCACAAAGTGCTTTTCTAAGAAAAATGGGGCCATTAATAAATATGAAAAGCCTGAGAACCATTTAGCACATAATAAAGATGCAATAAAAGAAAGTGCTGAGGCTAATGAAATAAGTAAAACTAACTCAGTATCTTTAAGTTGTATAAAAGAAAACAATGTAAGTTTTAGCACAGACAAAAATTATGATGCAACTTGTATAGCTCACACAAAGGTGAAAACTGACATAGTTATTTCAGTCTTAGAATCAAATGTGAAGCACTTTTTGAATGTTGATAACTACAAATCAGATAACCTTATTTTATCTGGTTTTAAAAGAAACCTGGAAGTAAATTTTCTAGAAAGAAGGCCATCTCCTACTGAGAGCTCAAAACCAGGCACTATTACAGGAAACATCCTTATGGACCCATTAAATCAAACTATGATAATAAGCAAAAATTGTAATAGTATTCCTCAATTGTTATCGACTGATCCAGTGACAGATAGTGAGGGAGAATCTTCAAAAACTTATATGGCTAAACAGAGAACTTTTGTTGTCGATTCTTTGGCAACATCCACCAATGTACCACACTGTCAGCAAGAATGTGGTGGAAAGGAGCTTCTAAAGACAGAACAGTGCTCTCCAAGTTGTTGTGTCCATATAAATGGGTATGAAACCAATGTTACTGAGAATTCTGAGCCGGATCTCATATCAGTAACTGAAGACAGTAAAAGTTATAGGGAAAATATAATGAAGAGACCTTTTTCCAGTGGTAGTTCTCTGCTCTTAAAAGATGATATAAAGGGTTCTTCCAAAAAATGTATTTCAAAGAAAGACATTCTGGACAGAAAAATGTGGAAAGTTAAACAAACCGAAAAAGCAGAAGATTCAGTTCACAAAAAAAGCATGACTGAAGGATCAACTGTTATGAATGAGTACAGAAGTCAAAAGAAAATTTTAGAAGAATCTTCCTATTTAAGTGAGAAAACAATTAAAAATAACTTAATTGATTCTCATCTAAGCATTAAAAATACTTCTGAGGCAATTTCTTTGAATAACATAGTTTCTAATCAGCTTAACAAAAGAGAGAAAGAGGGGGTTAGAATTAAAGGTGGTAATGACTCTCAGTTTGACTGTATGTTGCAACCAGACAGTTTAGGAATGAATCATATGCCTGTTTTACATGCTCACTCTGAAACTTCCAAAGTCACTACTCCACAGAAGAAGCCTACATCATACATGAATAAATTAAAAGAAAAGCATTGCTCAGCTAATCATTCAGGTCTTACAACTAGGTTAGCTCAAATTTTGAGGAGGGCAGATGAAGCATCATCTTTGCAGAGCCTACAGGAAGAAACTAAGATTTGTCAAAGTATTCTCCCTTTATTTGTTGAAGCTTTTGAAAGAAAGCAAGAATGTTCATTTGAGCAAATCTTGATTTCAAGAGAACTGTTGGTAGAAAAAAACCTGTGGAGTAATTGCAAACACAAATTAAAACCATGTGCTGTTGACTCCTTGGTAGAACTCCAAATGATGATGGAAACTATTCAATTCATTGAAAACAAAAAAAGGCTCTTAGTGGGTGAACAGACATTCCGAAGCTTGCTTTGGTATGATGAGACATTGTACAGTGAGCTGCTTGGCAGGCCGCGTGGATTTCAGCAACAATCCAATTTCTATCCTGCTTTTCAAGGAAGGCTAAAATATAATGCATTCTGTGAGTTGCAGAACTATCACGATCAATTAATTGACTTATTAGAAGACACCAAAAAGGAAAACAATTCATACTATGCATTATTAAAATGCAAACGACAGATTAATGAGTGTGAAGCAATATTGAGGCATTGTTCTGATTGCTTTGACTTTTCTCTTTCTGTTCCATTTACCTGTGGAGTTAACTTTGGAGATAGTTTAGGAGACCTAGAAACCTTAAGAAAAAGTACTTTACAGCTAATCAGTATGTATGGGAACTCTCCTAAAGTTGATTCTTATCCAGGAAAACAAGACCATTTGTGGATTATCATTGAAATGATCTCCTCAAAAGTTAATTTTATCAAGAACAATGAAGCAGTAGGTATTAATATATCTCTTTATGGTCTGGAACATATCTTTTTTGATGCTGCAAAAAGTCTTGTTTGGAAAGAGAAGAAACAATCTTTCAGCAAAAAATACTCAGGACAGAAGAACAAAGAAACACTACTCAAGATGAATCAATATTCTTTCTCTAAATTGCAAAAGATATATGATACATTGTCTAAAGATTTAAGCAGTGAACAAATTTCCAATATTGGGCTTGAGGAGAATAATATGGTGGCTTTCAGAAAGTCAGATGATCCAATAAACAAAGCAACAATTAGCATAGAAAAGTGTAGGTTTAACAGTACTTTGCTTTCACACCCAGATATATGTTGTATTGGTGAAATATTGGATCAAGCTGAATTTGCAGACTTTAAAAAATTACAGGAACTCACTCTGAGATGTACTGATCACTTAGAAATTTTAAAAAAGTACTTTCAGATGTTGCAAGAGGATAATAGAGAAAATATTTTTATCACAGAAGAAAACGTTTTGGACCTGGTTGGAAACCACAACCATGAGGCTATAATTTTAAAACCTGCAGCCACTGAAACCTATGTTGAAATAGCCATGCTTTCAGAAACAGTTCACTTTCTTAAAAACTCAATGGCAAAGAAACTAGATAAACAAAGGTTTCGAGGTATGCTTTGGTTTGATTTGTCACTTCTTCCCGAGCTGGTTCACTGCCAAGAAAAAATGGCTTCTTTTTCATTTCTTAAAGATAACTCAACAGATTGCCTTTGGAAAGTGATAGAGACTGCTATTTCTGAAATTAAGAAAGATCTGGAAATTATCTACAAACACAATGAAGCTGTTAATTGCTCGTATGCTCTTCATTTGTTCTCAAGAGAACTTCAAGAACTTTCAGAAATTAAAACACTTCTAAAGAAGGCTAAGTATTCCATTTCCACCTATATTGACTTTGTGCCATGTATAGCATCCATAAATTACGGAAGCACTGTGACAGAGTTAGAATACAACTACAATCAATTTTCTACACTGCTCAAAAATATATTGGCTGCCCCACGGAAAGATTATGGGAAAATGGCCCATATTGTGAAAGTCATGAAAACTATTGAACATATGAAGATAATATGTGCTAAGAATGCCAAATTAACCATTTCCTTCATCCTGTACCAAATGCTTCATAACAGAGAAAAGACTTTCCAACTGAAGAGAAAAGAAAAAATGAATGTTCATGTAAAACCTAGAAAGAATATTAGTAAATCTAGTACTTGTATGAAGATATCCTCAGTTTCAGAGTGCATAATGAAAAATGTTTCAAATTCTTCTAAAAAACGACCTATTGCTGTAGACAAATGTCAAGACTCTCAGGAACAAGAAAAAAATACTGTTTCCAGGGGTAAAAAACAAAAGGTAATGAATATTTTCAAACAAAACCTATATAGTAGTATTTTTTAGAACAAGTGTAATCTTGAATCAAATAGCAGAATTGTAAAAATTGAGAATGATTTAATATTAAACCTTGCAAATGAATATACTAAAGTATTGGATTCAACAATATGTATTACCTATAAAATATAAATGATTATGTATATGAGACATACCTTGCAAATGTTTTTTAAATGTACAAATTAAATAGTTTAACTTAGAAAACATTTCTTAGAAGGATGTGAATTTTAATCACTTTTTAAGGGAAAGTCCAATATTATGAATGTGAGTTAAGTGAGTGACCAAGTATTCATTGAGTAGCTTCTGGGTAATGAGGTTATAGTAAATGTAGTGAATATTAAACTGTCTAATGGTGCCTGTGTTCTTGACCATTATCCACATGGAAAAATAGAACAGATATGTTTTAATATGTTTTTATTGATTTTAGAGAGGAAAGGAGAGAGAGGAAAAAAAAACATCAATGTGAAAGAGAAATATCCATTGGCTGCCTCCTGCATGCCCCCTTTTGGGGGTTGCATCCGCAACCTGGGCACATGCCCTGACTAGACATTGCATAGGCACCCTTTTGATGCACTGGGCGCACTCAACCAACTGAGCCACACTTGCCAGAGCAGAGCAGATATTTTTAAATAGATTATTATTTAGGTGTAGAAGTCCTACATAAACGTATTTTATTTAACAAAAATTTACAGCGATTTTTTGTGTGCTTGGCATTGTAATATTGTACAAACATTAATTCTTCATTCACAAAAGAATTATGATGTAGGAACTATTATTTTCTTATTTCAAGGTAAGAAAACTGAGACCTAGAAAGGTTAAATAACTTTCCCAATGTTGCAGAGTTATTATTAAATGGGAGAGCCCAGATGTAAAACCAGGCAGTCTATAATAACAAGTGCCCCTACTTTGCTGTCAGTCTTCTCTTAAAATTTTTCAAGAATTTATCAGCTCAGAAGTAAAGAAAAACCTATGTGCAAAATGAAAAGTAGGATTCTTTCTCAGCTTACTCTTATTGTATATATTAAACTAGTTCTAGAGACTAGGAAACTAATCACTATGTATTACACTGTTTTATAGGAAAATGCATAATAAACATCATTTTATAGACATACTTTAAGAACACAAATTGTGTATTCCACATGGAGTAAAAAGGTGTTGCAAGTATTGAGAAGAAAAAAAAAAAGAGAGAGAGAGAGTGAGAGAAGGTTTATTTGTTGATTTCATGTAATAACACAAACCACAGCTTTGCTTTAAAGGAAAAAAAAGTTGTGAGTGAAAAACTGAAGAGGGTATATAAGTTATGGAAAATAACAGGAGCAAAGACACAATACAATGGGTATTGACCTATCTTGAGAAACGAGTTTAAAATTAAGTCTGTAACAAAAAAATTAACTTAGTGGACAAGTTAAGGATGGAGGAGATTGTTTTAGATTATAAAATGTCTTAAATATAGGCTTAAGGAATTTGAACTTAATTCGGTACACATTGAAGGATAGTGTCCTGTGAAACATGTTTTTTCAGTGATTTAAAGGTAGAAATTCTGATTACAGTTAGAAGTAGTAAGTCATCCAGAGCTTAGAAAAGGGTGCTCTTTTGCAGAATAAGAAAGGACAATCCATGTTTGACAGACATTACTTACAATGGGGCTTAGTGACTGGTTTACTAAAAGGTATAAAAGAGGGAGCAGTGGTAAATGGACTTCAGGATTTGTTATAAAATGTGGGGATAAAAAGAATTTTGCAAATTTCTTTTTTTTAAGTGTCTCCAAACATTAATGAAATATGGGAAGTCTACTAGAGTCAGTGCTTTTGGAAGGGGAGGGTCATTAATGAATGCAGATGATGACAGAACAAGCAGTTGCAAATATCTGATATTAAAATAATAAATATATTGTATTTTAAGCCATCATCAATGCAGCTTTACTTTGTATCTTTTAAACATAGGTTAACATGAAAGATGTCACAAAAACCAGCAAAGAAAAAGCAGCATTCAAGCATCCAAGGTAGGAGTTGCTGTCAGCCCTATCTGAAGAAAAACTAAACAAAATTGAGCACATAATAAGGAACAATACTAGAACGTTTATTTATATACATACCTGTGTTGGATCATACATGTAATTTAGGGAACAAGATAAGGAGAGAGAAGGTGGTTGTTTCAGATTATGCAGTTTATTAAGTAAAGCCTTAGAGTTTGAACTTCATTCTGTAAGTCTGAAGCTGTGTGCTGTGAAATGTGTTTTTTCAGTGATGTAAAGGTAAGGAGATTCTGAGTACAGTTGAACGTTATAAGTCCTAGATCAGCCAGAGCTTAAGAAAGAGTGATGTTTTACATAATAAAAAGGGCTTGGTATCTGGTTTTACAAAAAAAAAAAGACATAGGAGAATAGGACAAGTGATTAGATTAAGTTTTTAAAACTTGTGGACTTTATAGACCAGTCACATTTCAAAATTGGTTAAAAAAGATATAAATTACCAACTTATAATACTAAGTGTGGGATATTAGTCATAGACAAACACACATATTATAAATATACCAGTGTCTCATAAAGGATGTTTTAACACTATAAGAAGAACTTGATTTCAAAATAACACCTAGCTCTTTTTTTTTTTTTTATCCTCACCGGAGGACATTTTTCCATTTTTTGTTCAGATAGAGCGGGAGGGAGAGAGAGGAAGAGAGAGAGTGAGAGAAACATCGATGTGAAGGGACACATCGAGTGGCTGCCACCTGCATGACCAACCAGGGCCGGGGACAAACTGCAACCGAGGTACATGCCCTTAGCGGGAACCAAACCCAGGTCTCTCTGTACCGCAGGCTGATGCTCTAACCGCTGAGACAAACCGGCCAGGGCACACCTAGCTCTTTAAACTGGATTATTTTAATGAAAATCTCACTATATTATTTATATTTTACTTATTTTGATATGAAGTTGCACCACTGGACTTGTTGACCATCTCTTGTTTCATTCAACTCTGTAAGATTCATTTGCTTCCATCTTTTCTTTCATTTTATGAAGGAGAATGAGTAATATAAAATAGAAAAGATAAATACAGCATTTTATTTCCTGGCACATATGACTTTGAATAGTTATATAGTGGAATAAAGATGAATAGGCTGTTAGAAGGATAACAAACCAACTCTGTAATCATCTTGGTTTTGGTAACTAAGTATAGGTGGTATTTGCCACTCAGAGAATCAATCTTTGTTTCACTTAGCAGGAAAATGAATTATAACATAAGGTTAATAAAGTATTATCTTCATGGGAGAATATTCTCTAAGAGACAAATAAAAAGACAGATGATGCAGACAACTATCAGTCTATAAAGTTGAAGCATCATTGGAAATTTGATAAAGTCAAAATTGTACCTTCTGGAAACTGTATCAAAGTATTGTAATGGGATTGGATGACAATCTAGGTTGTCATTAAAGTGCTTTTAAGGAAGCTTAAAAAGTAAAATTTGGAGCTTTTAGTTTCATAAATGGAATATACAAATTTGAGGCCAAAGATTAATTTTTCTTGACTATAGAAGACTGGTTACTTTCTTTTCAATGTTTTCTTTTCCAGATGTGATTAAAAGAACTTGATGAGGCACCAAAATATATCATTATTTTGGGGACCTATTTTATTAACTGTTTGGCTCTTATACATTCCCATAATGGATACTTCCTTCAGCCTGCTTGAAACTAAATTATGTAGGAATGCAAAGGATGTTAAATTGGCAAGGAATTTTGGCCTTCTGCTTTTGCCATTCTTGACCTTGAACAGACAAAATATCTCAGTAGTTAGGAATAAGAGAAGATCTTTGGAGGAAGGGCACATCTGGTAGTTCACCAGTTATATATAGCCATGTGTAAGTGAAGAGAATTGTCAAAGGGTTGGAGGTTTATGAATTAGAAACTACATTTAAAAAATGAATAGTGATGCTTTTCCACCTCTGAAAACCTTTATCAGGATATGTCCAAAGCATAAAACCGTTTTTTACAATATTGGAAGCACTGTGTATTTTCAGAATAATACTTTTGAAATGTGGAGTATCTAGAGTCAAACCAAGGTAGTAAAACTGGGTAAATATGTTACTTGTATAGAGCCAATAGAAAGAGAAAATGTTAATCTTAAAAACACTTCTGAATAAAAATATCAAATATATTTATATTAAAATTTTGTAACTGTATATTTAAAATTATTTTTATGTGTGTTTTATACCTAATAGGACCACAAGATCTCATCCCGAAAGTGAAAGTGAAATAGGACCAAGTTTATCCAACAATCAGAAAAGAAATCATGGATCTCCAAAAAAGGTTGAAATGCAAAGACCTGGCTCACCTCTACTTTTAAATAACCTAAAAGACACTTGCATGTTGAAGTTGGAGGGGAAAATAGATTTGACTAATATTTTATCTGATACTTCAGAAGATATCACTGGACAACAGGGAAATGTAAATAGCATGAAGAAAAGAGATGTGAATTTTTGTGCTGCTGAAACAAAAAGTGATAAGAAGGATTGTTTTTCTTTTGTAATTTGTGACCAAAAAGGTGTAGATGGCACCTTTTCAAAAGACCATGAAGCACCTTCACAGAAATTTCTTAACTCTTTCCCAGGTCCCTCAGACAAACCAGGAACTGATGCTTCTCTTCTGCCTAATGCATCCACGCCTTCAAAGCCTCTTTTCTGTCTTGTGAGCGATATCCATGCCAATTTAGAAATGAATGACAGTGTCTTTGAACTTCAAGATAATGAAATATTAAAGTCATCTATTAAAAATTCTACAGGCACTAATTCTCCAGAGCCCATATTTATCCAGAACAAAATACCTGTTCCACAAATAAATGAAACACAATCTGCCAAAACTGAGTCAAAAGAAAAATATATGAAAGATACATTGAATCCCAGCACTGTACCTGTTGAAACATCTGAGAACATAACCCTTAATGTCAATCAAACAGCAGAATATTCTTTTTCTGAACAACAGAATAATGAAAATTCGAAAGGCCTGCCTCAGAATGCTGCAACATATCGGAATGAGCTTCCACAGTCTTCATGTACCCCACTATATAATTCTTCGGAACACTCGTTTGGAACATTATATCCTTCCTATGCTTGGTGTGTTTATCATTACAGCAGCAGCAGTGGCAGTTCCATCACCCAGACATACCATGGCATAACATCATTTGAAGTGCAGCCACTTCCTCCTGAGATGTTGACTGCAGTTCCAAGTACTGTCCAAAGTACACATTCTAATCTTTTGTATTCTCAGTGTTTTGGCTACATTGCTGGTGGGCCACAAGCACATGGCTTTTTGCCAGCAAATAGGTATTTTCCATCTCAAATGCCTGTTTCTTACAATGTTCAGCAGCCAGCTTTTTCACAGTATGCTTCCTATCAACCAGTACCACAAGGTTACCCTTACCCTCCTGATTCAGGTGTGCTTCCACAAGTTCCTTGGACTTATGGTGAGTTTCACAAGTTTTAATGCTTGCTTCATTGAGTTTTTACTTTTATCTTTGTATATTTATAAAATGGAATTTACAACAAGTGGTGATACATTGCAGTAATTGTTCTGTGCCGATGTGTAGAATTATTCAAATATCAGGCAGAGTTAAATTATATTGTCAGGTGAAAATCTAGTTGCCAAAAGATGGGAGAAAAAGAATCGTTAATATCACTAATATGTTCTGTAACAAAACCCAACTCTTAGGGAATTATTAAGAAAATTATAATTAATTGATACCATGAAATATATGCAGCCATTAAAGAGTTTATTAAAGTTTTTAATGACAGTTTTTAAAACTATGTCATATAAATTTACTTATGTAATCAAAGAAATGCATAGAAATACTGAATGAAGTACACCAACATTTCAACTTGTCCGCCTGTGAGTGATCAAATTTGGGGTGTGTGGAAAGTGTTTTTCTGTATTTTTCTACTGGAAACATACATTATTTTAATAAATGGAGAAAAATAGACTAAAAAGACAGATAAAGCAATCTTTCTCTTTCTGTCTGTATTGTATTATACCATCTTGGCAGAAGTGAAAAGGGAGAATATTGAGATGTGTTGCTAGAACAACTTGGTAGTTTGCCACTGGAACTTGGATTTTTTTTTTCCTTAAACAGTTTTATTTGTAAAATATGATTATGACAGAGATTTTTGAAATTAAATTGAAAGGTGTATTTACCAAAAGTAAAGCAAAAATTTAAGACAATGATTAATAATCCTTCAAAAACTAGTTACCCACTAACATCCAAATATTCTACCATTAGAAGTAAAATACACTGTTAATAAAGTTAATCAAACAGATAAATGTAAAAGAATTGCTTTTAAATTCAAAGTTATTTCTCAGTCCTGCATTTTCTTACAAATTATTAAGTAGGAAAAAATTGATTAATTCATTTCATTTGATTTGGAGAAGAAGCAGCCTATTAACATAATTCTATTTCTAATTAAGAAATCTAACCATGCCCTGGCCAGCTTGGCTCAGCAGTTAGAGCGTCGGCCTGCGGACCAGAGAGTTCTGGGTTCAGTTCTTGCTAAGGGCATGTACCTTGGTTGCAGTTCATCCCCGGCCCTGGTTGGGGTTGTGTGGTTGGCAACTAGTTGATGTGTCTCTCTCACGTCGATGTTTCTCTCTCTCTCTCTCTCTTCTTCCCTCTTTCCCTCCCACTCCATCTGAAGATAAATGCAAAAACGTCCTCGGGTGAGGATTTAAAAAAAGAAAGAAATCTGACCAGGACAGCATAAGGAATATTATGAATATGTAATAACTATGTATAGTGACAGATGGTTACTAGACTTATCATGATAAGGTTATAAATGTCTAAGCACTGTATTGTACACCTGAAACTAATATAATGTTGTATGTCAACTATAACTTAAAAGTGAATTTAAAAATAGAAAAAAACAATAACTCCTGACCTAAGGGAGTTTCACAAACAAGGAAAAAAAAAAAGAAATCTGATCACAGGAGCACCTCTGCATTGGAGTGATGCTGGCACCTAACACCTATAGGATAAAATTCGAATTAGCTCGGAATGCAGGGCCTTTCACAGTACTATATTAGCCTCATTTCCCACCAGTCTCAGCTCTATGCAAGCCACATTGAACTTCTAACAGTTCTCCCATGTGACATTTCCTCTTGAACTCCCATAGTACTTTTTGTGTGTGCTTCTCACATGATAAAGCATGTGAGTGTAGTGTGGTGTTGTAATTATTTATGTATCTTCCTTAGGTCTGTACTCCACCATATGAATTTAAACAGGACTGGAACTTTTTCACCAAAAAATAGAACCTGAAAAAACTCTAAAGGAAGGGAGAAAGAAACAGGATTGGGGCTGGGAGAGTGTATACCCCTTTTTGGTTAATTTCATACATTGCATATAACTTAATTTGGTACATTGCTGCTGCTGCTATTGCTGCTGTAATGATAAACACACCAAGCATGGATGTGGAAAACCTATGAATTATTAAAGTAGACATCCTGAATGTAATTGTTTCATAAAGGTTTTCATAGTTTGAGCTTTCTTGTGTTCTTAATAATTAAGCTGTTTGTGATACTAAAGAAGATATCTCTGGAATCAAGTCCAGCTTTGATTCTCAGAAATTTTAATTGTTACCTCCATGATTATATTAGTCAAGTGAAAATAAAAGGAAAAGAAACAATTATCTACTTATTAGAGTATCCAAATGTTACTCAAAAAAAAAAAAATTAGGAGGCAATATAGCATATCATTTAGTTTTCATGAGTGCAGATAATCCCACAGTTACAGGCACTATTCCTTCTAAAGATATGAAAATTCCTATGACCCACTTGCTGTTTTGTTTTGTTGATGGTGCTCGTTCTACACCATAAACAGAACTTAAGGAAGGGACTGAGTGAGCCCTGTGTGCCAGACTTATTACATCCTTTATTCCATTTAATTCTCACAAGATACCTGAAATAGTTGTAGATACTATTGTTCTTTTGCAGATGAAGAAACTTCTCCTTGGGGAGCCTTAAATCACTTTGTGAGGATCCCAGGGCTAGTAAAGGGCAGATGTGCAGTTTAAACTTGGATGTCTTTGCCTCTAACTTAACTCAGGCCTTTGCACTATACTATTATGTGCCATTTGTCTGTATCATTAACCTAACTCAAATTTTTGTTGTTTTTTTCCTTCCAGTTCCATGGCAACATCAAGAACCCTTTCAGCAAGGACGTTGAAACAGTCTTCTGTCTACTGAAATAAAGGAGATTTACAAGTTTTTCCAAGTATATTTTACTTATATACCTTTATGTTAACATTTTAAATATATGGAAGTATGGTGGGAAATATAAATCATACAGCCTTTATAAAAATTTTAAATACAACAGTGTGTCATATAATGCAATAGGAAATCAATTTCTGACATCAAAATACCATAATTATTCTCATGCAATGATTGCAGTCAACTCTGTACAAGGCTATTTTCAATACACACCTAGAAGAAACATTAACAAAGTGTTTGAAATTTATTTTTTGAAATGTTGCTATACAGTTATTACAGTTATATAAAGATTTTCTTTGAGGTTATTCTAATGGAATAAGGAGAGTTAAATGTAACATTTACTATGATTAAGGTTAAGCAAAAATAGTAAAAATCTTTAAAATAAGAATTGTGTTTCTGATATTTTTGTACATTGTTTATGATATTATTATTTGTGCCATTTGACTTAGATTAAAACAGGATTTCTTTTTGCTTAGATTTGTTGTCAGAACAAGTTTATAATTCTTGACATTTTATTTATGTAATTTACAATTTTATTATGTCAACATGAAAAATTTCTTTAATTTCAATATTTTCTAATTTTTACTTATAAAATACATTGTAATAGTTTTACATATTTTCAGTATTTGTCCTTGAGTAGAGATTTTAAAAATTTTTGTTTGAAGCAGTTTTATTTCATTATATTAAAATTAAAGAACATTCCATACCTTTTTTTTAAAGAGACCTTTCCCCACAATATTATATCTTTGTATTTCTATTTCACAATTTAAACGTTTTTTAATTATTTTGTAGCAAACAATAGGAAACAATGTCTTTAGCTTATGCCATTAACTTAGTGGTACTTTTAGAACTTTAAATAATGCACAAATACAAGTTTTTTAGTGCTGGGGTCACAGGTTTTTTTCCCCCAACATTCCACAAAAGTAAAAAATGCCTTAATAATAATTGCTGTATAACAACAGGGGCATAGTGTATAACTAACTGAGGTCTTCAGCAACCTCTCTGCCCACCAACAATTCCTGTTTTCTTTAAGATCCCAGTCAGAAAGATTCCTCACAATTAGAATAGACTTTTTTCAAATGCTAGTGATCCTTAATATGTGATAATAGATTTGCATTGGCTAAATCTAAACAGGTAGCTAACTTTCAATGTTCTCTCAAAATTTTTAAGTTAGGAAACAGTTATCTAGCACAGTTCTCCAAAGAGAGTGTAATTCAGCCATAATTATTATAATTTTTCAATTTAGAAAAACATTAAGAACCCCCAGGATAAGCTTCTTTAGTAACATTAGCCAAATAGCATAGAAATCAGAATACTTAAGGTTCTTCTCCAGCCAACAGATCTTTAAAAGAGAAAAGTCAAGCAAAAAACTACAGTCGAGAGAAGGGAATTTGAAAAAGATTACAGAATTAAAGCAATATGAAGATAACATTTTTTGTCCATATAGTTGTTTTATTTGAAAATAGTCTGTAAAAATCAGAATTCCTGAACCAGGTATTAAAGCAGTAATATTAACTGTTATTTAAAAAGTGACTTTGCCTCACTTTTGCCTCAGCCATTTGATTTATGTTTGGTTATAGAAAGATGTTACAAATTTATTATTAAAAATGTTTCTTTAAGATAAATACTCTAAATAAGGATGCTTTCTTTAAACAACTTTCAGAGTCTGTTGATGCTACCTATGTGGTATTTTTATTTCATAAGTTTTAATTTCTTCAAAAAAATGAAAACAATCTTATCTGACTATTCAGTTACATTTAGAAATCTATACTTTGAAAAAGAAAATGAAAAAATGTAGTATTTTTACCTTCAAGTATGTGTTTTAGTTCTAAAAATAAAAATAGGACAAATTAAAATTTGAGCTAGCATTATAAACAAAAAAATCTTTGGCTGTTTGTAAATATTGTTTGGGAACTTAAAGAGGAATTATCTGAATAAACAATTAAGGGGTTTTTCTAGTTTCAGGGTTTGTTTTTTTCCTTTTGTGTTTTTTGAAGAATGAACAAATATGTGGATGGTCCTTGGTTTATACATACCTGTTACCTGAACAACCCCCCACAGAAAACTGACTTAATTAGAGACGAAATAAACTGCTGGAGCTCTCCTACTCCAGCTGCTTTTACCTTCATCTCCTTCCTTCCTCCCTCATGCTTAAAAACTTCATTACTGCCTCTAGTTTCATAGTACAAGCCAAAGTCCCAGCCCTTAATGCATTTCTCGTTTAAGTTAAGAGAGACAAGTAATAAACTTTAAGTAATTAATTTTATGTCATGAGAAGTAATATGTAACAAACAAAACAAAGTAATGGAATAAAGAATGACTAGATGATACAAAAGCTGAGATGTTTAGGGAAGGCCTCTTTGAGGCAGTAATCAACTTTCATATTCTTATATTTTAAGTATATTACTTTGTCTTCCATTAATATACATAATGTAAAAATGCCTCTAAAACTTGAGTTCTGGTCCAGCCAGTGTGGCTCAGTGGACTGAGCGTCATCCCATGGACTGAGAGGTCCAGATTTGATTTCCGATCAAGGAACATGCCTGGGTTGCGGCCTCGATCCCCAATAGTTTGAGATATATGCTTTTAAAAATCTATGTACACATTCAAAATTACATTTGATTCAGGTCATTTCAGGCTGATTTCTTCCCCAAAGACAGACAGACTTCCTCCCTTCCTCCCTTCCTCCCTTCCTCCCTTCCTCCCTTCCTCCCTTCCTCCCTTCCTCCTTTATTCCTCACCTGAGGGTATTTTTCTATTTACCATTAGATAGAGTGGGAGGGAGAGACAGAGAGAAACATCAATGTGATAGAGCCACGTTGACTGGTTGCCTCCTACACCACCCGACCAGGGCCAGGGATGAACCACAACCGAGATACATGACCTTGACCAGAATCGAACCTACAACTCATTGGTCTGCGAGCCAAAGCTCTAACTGCTGAGCCAAACTGGCCAGGGCCCCAAAGACATTCTTTAAAATAGTGAGAAAAAGTCTTTCGAGTAAGGCTACATACTCTTTTCAATGGGGGTAATTTGGGGGGGGGGGGTGGATAAGTTATACTAAGGCATACGAAATCTTTTTTTACAGGCATAGTTTGATTTCAATTCATGTAATATTAATATTTCTTGAGTAGCATGATAAACCCCCAGTTCATGAGTTTGAAAAACAGGATAGTAGAGGAAGAATATTACTTTTATGAAACAAACACCTTTTTAAATTAGTTCTAATGAATACACTTCTAAGAGCAATGACTGCTGATTCAGTTGCTAATGAAAAGAAACTGAGAAGGTTTAAGGGGTTGTTTAGTAATGCAATGTGGAAATAAGAGTTAAAAGAATTCATTAGAGATTAAGACAGGAACATTTTGTAAGGATATAAATCCTGTTTATTTCTTGGGGTTATAAGCTCCGCCATCCACTTTATTGTAACCATCTTACTATTTTTTTTAATTTTTTAATTTTTTTTTTTTTTGGTTACAGATGTTTCTCCTTTTTTACCCCATTGGCACCCCCCTCTCCATCCTCCCCACCCCGTCCCCAGCTTTGTTGTCCATGTCCATTGGTCATGCATACATGCATATAAATTGTGTGGTTTATCTCTTTCCACCCCACCCCCAGCCCCTCTTCTGAGGGATGTCAGTCTGCGCCCTACTTCCAAGTCTCTGGGTCTACTGTATTCCCCAGACTGTTATGTTCATTATATTCTGTATATAAGTGAGATCATGTGGTATTTGTCTTTTTCTGCTCGGCTTATTTCACTTAGGATAATACTTTCCAGGTCCCTCCATGTCGTCTCAAAGGACAAGAGATCTTATTTTTGAATCCCATAACCACTGAAGAATCCCTATGGTATTTGTTAGAAGTCTCCTTTGAAGCATCCTGTGGAACAGTTTGGCTTAAAATACACTGCATTACAATTTGTTGTCACAGGAAACTGCATTTATCTTAGGATTTGTAGTTCCTTTTATTTAAAGTCTATTTCCCTTTATTAGGTAAGAATAATTTAGGTCTATGACAGTCATTTCTTTTTTAAAAATGTTAGAACTTATTTATATAAAGCTGGTCTAGTCAATTGATTAATGTTTGGTTAAAGATTTTATTTACACTCAGCAATTTTTGAACATCTGACTTGTGCTGAAAGTATGCTTTGTATTTATGTGTGTGTTTGCATCAGTTAATCTTGTTGTCATCCCCATAAAGGGAAATATTATTTGCTTATTTTGTAAATGCACTCCTTCAGAAAGATCTTTAAGATATTTTTGTACTTCAAGTCATCTTTGTGAACATTATTTAATAGTTTCCAATATTGTTTGTTTGAAAAGACTTTAAGATCTGTCTTAAATCTTTCCTTTAATATTTTACTT